ATTGTTTTGGTTGAGGCAATATTAGATAATAATTCAGATGGATTATGTCTCATAACTTTTATATCAAAAATTTGTTCTTTATAGAAAATATGAAAAGTTTGCATGTAGTTTTGATGCCAAAGATTTTTAGAGTTCACCTTACTTTCTTTTTGGGGGGGTACAGCTCTTCAATATCATAGTCCTCTGAACCTACTGGATGAAATGCTTATAAATTTTTTAACAATTGTCTCCATACTTAACTACCCAACTACCTCAGCCGTTTTTGGGATCTTTTTTTTGCTTAAGGCTATATTCGATTTCATTCTGATTGATTTGTCCTTATTTGGTTTTATTATTTTTATACCAGAGATAACTTACTAACCAGTGGTTTGATTCTGTTCCAAGTGTTTTATGTGTATGTTGACAAATGAGTACCAGATACTACAAAAATCCCAAGGCCATTGGCCAAATGAACAAGAAAGATAATGGGCGATCTTTTTATTCCAAAGGGCAATAATTCTCCTTTTGAAATGATGTAAGTGACGGTCCAAGCTGTCGCTTCTGGTCTGGTTCCCGGATCAATGCATGCTGTGACAACTAGTAACATGTAGAGACAGAGCAAAGCTAAAGCGTTACACTGTTGCACCTTCATTTAAAAACGGTCGTTTACAACTGAATATTTTTCACTAGCACATATTTTGTAGTGATTATTAGTTTAGAATATCAAGATTTGTTGAGTTTTCAACTAAAAGACGAATTGTCACGATGGAATACTGCCACAGTATTTTTTCCATCAGAAAACAGCAAGGCATTCTGTCAGTCTGGGCTAACATATCGTATCGATGAGAAATATGCAAACTCATTTTATTTATCAGCCTTTGTGTTATTTCCCACAAGTCCTCAAATACTGCAGCATTCAAATCTTAACAAATGCTTCTCATACTATCATAGACTTCAATGTAATAAAATTGGAGATATGCCTACATTTGCAGCACACAGACATCTTTGACAGGTCTTTACCACTTATCTATAGTTAGTTCTCATCCTAAGAAATAATGCTCAGAATAAAACTTCTAATTTTAAATGTTACTTTTACATAAAAATGTCCTCTCACATCTGATTTTAATTTTTCTTATTCTGATATTATTTTTTAGAAACATGCCAAATGAAAATCTACCATGCATCTATCCAGCAATCAGTTACTCAGTTGCAATAAACATACCAGTCATTATATACTCACATGCAAAAGAAACGCAAGTGGTTTTAAGCAAATAGGTAACAAACACGGAACCATAAATTGATACGAGTTTTAGCATGTAGTGAAGCCTGATGGTGTTATCAATATTTTTGGTTGCATTTTGGAAGCCCCAAGGAAAAACACAACATAAAAACAAATCGCCAAAACGCACCATTTCAATGAATATGTGGGTATCATGCACCCATTTCTCGCAAAATTGAAAATACACGAACTGTCACGAACTGTAGTGGGTATAAAACTGTGGCCGATTATTGGACTAACCACTCCTTGGTCAACAATGCCACGCTTAACTCAAATTCAGAGAAACCAGGCTATCGGACGTTTGGAAGCTGGAGAGTCTGTCCAAGATGTTGCCCGTCATTTCAATGTTAACATAACCACAATTTACTGTCTCCTGCATCGATACAAAGCTACACAGACCACAGATGACCTTCCACAGAGCGGTCGTCCTAGGGTCACCACACCTCGACAAGATCGGCAGATTACCCGTCAACACCGTTCCTAACTGCAAGTGAAAGTACTTGACAGACCATATGAACACATAATTGACACATTAGCCGGGACACTGTGATCCGACGTCTCCGTTCCAACAACCTCAGATGTTGCCGACCAGCACGTTGTCCTGTTCTCCAACCACAGCATCGACATGCACGCCTTCAGTGGGCACAGGGTAATCGCAATTGGTGTCATTGTGAGTGGAGGCATGTCATCTTCTCTGATGAAAGTCGCTTTTGTGTCTCCCATGCAGACGAAAAAGTCAGAATTTGGCGGCGTCGAGGTGATTGTTTCGCTGACAGAAACATTGTGGAAAGGGATCCATGGGGTGGACCTAGCGTCATGATATGGGCAGGGATTGGACTTAATGCGAGACTTGGACCCATGTGCTTTCTGAATGTTGGTCAAGGTCAGGGATACGGCGTCACTGCTCAGCGGTATATCGACCAAATGATCAGACCCCACGTTGTTCCATTTTTTGCACAACATCAACAACACATTTTCCAGCAGGACAACGCTTGTCCCCATGTTGCCAGAGCTACCATGGCCTTTCTGCAACAACACAACATCAGTGTTCTACTGTGGCCAGCCCTCAGCCCTGATCTGAACCCCATCGAACACTTGTGGGATGAGGTTCATCTGCACAATGTGCGCCCAGTCCCTACAACTGCCGATGAACTACGCACAGCTGCTCTAGATGTGTGCAGGAGGATCCCTTGGGCCTTCACAAATCGTCTGATCCACTCAATGTACAGGAGATGTGTGGAAGTGATCAATGCTAATGGTGGTCACACCAGGTATTGACCCGAAACTGTGTAAGCCCTTAACATTTGAAAAAACAATTATGTCATCTGCCTTTTAATCCATTAAACTGTCTTCAGTCAAATTTTTGTCAATCTTGTACTATTAGTATTTCCTGTCTTTACTGTTGAAAATAAATAACATGTATACTGCATACTCGACTTGCGTTTCTTTTGCGTGTGAGTATACTTTGATATGAGACATTTACCCATATTATTCTGCCCCTTATAAAATGTGTCCTACCTTTAAGTGCCAAGAGTCATCACACATGTTGATTCATTGAACCACCAAATTACAGAATTCTGATACTCATGCTCTTAAAATAGTAGTAAATTACAGAGATTTGTCCAACAAACAACAGATCATACTGACTACCCCACAAGATATCTATACCTATGGATGGATGGATTTTTTAACATATATTTATTATTACGCTGACAAGATTTTTCAGATACAACTGAGACACTGTACGCTGTAGGAATGTATCCTGATTTTCACTTAACAGTACTAAAAGACACCTGCAGTATTAAGTCTATTTATTAGATATTATTATCATATAGCAAACATGATTTTAGAAAGTTCATAATCAAATACTCTGATAGTAGCAGCCGTAAAATTTTCGAGTCCCATGATGGGATTCGAACCACGGACCTTCTGATTCAAGGTCGGACACCTTGTCCACATGACCAAAGAGTTTAACCCCATCAGCAAGCTGACAATGTAAGGATGTCATCTGTGGGATGACTCCACGCCCTGCTACATACCATGATGGGATTCGAACCACGGACCTTCTGATCTGAGGTCGGACGCCTTGTCCACATGACCAAAGAGGTTAACCCCTTCAGCAAGCTGACAAGGTAAGGATGTCATCTGTGGGATGCTACATGATGATGACATAAATGCAAACTGAGTCCCACCATCATTCCATGTAGAAAAATGCATTTATTTATGTTATTTGTTTTTGCATATGACAGATAAAACTTATACAGTATATTGACTGATTCACTCAGGCAGAGTATTTATTGACTTACATTTTCAGTCAAAATACATATTGCCTTAAAAATGAGACTGGAATTTAGACAGATTGACTGAAATGAATTAGATTTCTTAATTTACTCTCATCATTTTAATTTGGATCTATTTTGATCAAAGTAACTTATGTAAGTAAATAAAAAAAATTCCACAATGAATTGATTGGTTCTTCAAAGAATACTAGAGTCCATTTTCATGTTACTAATCTATACTGACATAACTTGCAGTTCAGTAACAGATAATGACTGCCAAAAAGTCATGCATGTGTAATCTAATACCAGTACACATGCACAAGTATACAAAGATATCAAATAAAATAATAACAGTCATTGTGCAATGCAGATATCTGTTGGTGTAAAGAGAAAAAAGAAAAGCATTAATAATTTGTTTATGAGGGAATTTGAAACATCAGTTTAGAATGTTTATGTAAGTATTTTAGCTAAAATGGATAGAATTATCATAAAATGCATGCATCTTATCAGAGATCTACAGGCCACTGTAACTTCATAGCAGTACGCTTTTCCTAACAATGGGCTGCTATCCATTCTTTTGCTACGTGACGTCATTGGCGTCACGTTTCTTGTTTGTGACGTCATCCTATATTATATTCAGTGACGTTTCTATCTGTAAATCAGTGATCTCTGTTGAGCTTTTCTTCTGCATAATTATATTAACAAATTCACGAACATGGTTTCTTTAAAAAAAATATGTCTTTACACATCACAATTAATGATATTTAAACACAAAACAGTGTTGAATAATGAATTTCTGTACCAGAATTTTCATGTGAAATATGTGAGGTGGGTGTTGGAAAATCCAAAATGGCTGTTACTGACGGTATATGGTCTCATATTAGGTCAGTAACAACCATCTTAGATTCTTACTTACAGTATACAGGCTTATATGTGGTTAGTAGTTTGGCTGCCTGATTGGTCAATCTCACTTTGAGGCAAAATAATATTTGTTATGGTGTCTTTAGTTGCCGTATACAGTGTCATATTTGGTTAGCTGAAAAATATTGGGTGCTGTTCCAATTACCGTCAAACCTAACATGCGTCTGCTGCTTTAAGTGCTTGATTTTGCAGTCATATTGGATTCAAGATTTTCACACTGCATTTTCCTTTTTGGGGGAACATGTTTCCAAAACATGAACCTCCTGCTCTGAACCAACTGGGTGAAATGCTTCCAAACCTTCTGTGAATTTTCTCTACAGATAATTCAGTACGCTATCTTAGCCATTTTTGGATATCAAATTTTGGTTGCGAAGAATTGTCTACATATATTAAACTACGTTCGCCATTTACTGGTATCTTTTTTTGTTCTTTCAGGCCAGGTGAGCTAAAATCAGATTTCTTTGAGAGTTTTTGTTTCAGTCCAAAAGAAGTACATTTCCCCTATGCATACTATGGTAAATAAAATTTTGAGTTGCACAAACCATCGTCGCCTCTTCTGTCTGCTTTCCTCTTCATTGCAGCCACCTCCTTTTTCTTGTTCGCATATACCACTTTGATAACATGTCCTCCAATCGTCAATTCTATCGCCTTGGCTAAGCTTGACTTTGCATCTTTTTCATTGTGAAATGTCACAAATCCGTACCTGAAACAACTTTTCATGCATTATTTCAGAAATACATAAAAAGTACTTTTGCAAGATACAAGTACAATGGTCAAAGTTTGGACTGCCTACGTAGAGGGCCACAAGGTTACATGTCAAAACTGCATAGGCAAACATACAAATTACGCCAAAGCACTATTGCTCTCCAGTTGCCTTCAAATTGATCTGACGTATCATGTTGTGAAATCTTTAGCCAAAAAGATACCAGCTGTTCAACCCTAGCGCTTGATCTGAATAGGCAGTATGATCTCAATGTAATATTCTCTAAACTTAACACATCAACACAATTAGAAACTTAAGGCATCAACACATTTATAAGTTTCATCACTAAGAGCTCCAGAATATTTGAAATAGTTGATCCTTAAGGTCACTGTAAAAGTGAGTGTCTTTGGTTAACACGGCTTTGAACAGTATTCCAGTTATGTTACAGCGAGTCAGCTTAATGTGGGAGGGAGGAAAGCCTGAAGTTGTGAAACCCACAAGCATGGGTATGGTGCTGACATACCTCGAAAAATAATCAGGATGAACGGAGAAAACTTATCAGGGTGAACCGGGTGGGTGTAAGGTGCCAAAATCTACCCCCCTTCAGAGTATACCCGGTTAGATTTTGGGGACTTCCCAGAATCTACCCCCCTTTCCCAGAATCTACCCCCAGGGGGTATAATCTGGGAATTCCCAGAATCTACCCCGGGGTATAATCTGGGAGCTCCTCCCAGAATCTACCCCGGGTTATACATGTAGCTATAATCTAGGAGCTCCAAGAATCTACTGCAGCCCTGTTTGATTTAAACATTTAAACATTATTTCATGAATGTACTTGAAGTTTTCTTTTGGGGTATGCATCTAACTCAGTCTTGATCTCTCCTGGTCAATTGCTGTAACAACATTAAGTTTACATAAATGCCTATTCAGTACACATCTAATTAGTTTTAAAACATTCATATCCCAGAATCTACCCCCAGGGGATATAATCTGGGATTTCCAAAAATGGTGCCGATAATACCGGTAATAAATTGTTATCAAATTCAAATATTCAAAATGTTGTTTTATACATGCAAAGAAAAAATAAATATTGTTTAAACTATAAAATATCTTACAAATCACATTGACTTTAACTCATTGTAGTCATCATCAATTTGTAAGTTCGAAAGTTGGTGTTGAGAATTGTGTGAGGAAATGTCTTACACTTATGTTATTGAATAAGCTTTAATATGCTTTGTGAATAGACCTACCTACTTTTGATTGCATATAAAATCATTTTGAAAACAACTTGTGTCTGTAAGTACCTTTGTTTGGGGAGGCATGTATCACAGTATAAAGAATATATTCTGACTATAGAAGACATCACATCATTAAAACCATCTAATTATTTGTCCATTTACATTCTAATTCTTCTAAATATAGCCAGATGGGTGTAATAAATTTCACGAAGCAATTGTCATTGTTTTAGTCAGAGTTTTTATATTATTATCAATAACAAATAGAGAAAAATAACATAAAATATGAGAGCAATTTATTCTGAAAACCAATATCCATTGATTCCTTGAATTATTTCAATGTTACTGGACATTTATTACAACGTCAAAGTGTTCATGGAGGTTGGTCAGATACACTGCACCAATGGACAGCTTCTCAAGTGTGAATGATGCTGGGTAGCATTGCCATTTCAGCTCCTTTCAATAATGCGTATAGACAACAATGTCAGTTTGCAGAAGAAAAGCAGTGGCCATAATCTCTGCATCCCTGCCCAGACACCATTTTCGGCCATTCTTGACGAATTTAAGTATTTCGTCACATTCTGCTGAAGGTAGTTTTCCAGCTTTTCCCCATCTCACTCATGTGTTGTACAACATCATCTCTCAGGTGTAAGTGGGATGTCTCCTGACCAGTTAGGAAATAACTAATGGCACGGAAGAAGCAGTTGCCATCACCCTTGGTCTTGTGTTGTCTTTTTGGTGCCTTAAATTCTTTCTCTCTTCCATAATAAACAGACTTAAATGAAGGTAAATGTAACTGTTGAGAAAGTTCTCTTCTTCTTTGAATGGTCATTGGCTGGAAGCTGTAATGTGGCCTCTTGGGGATGTTCCTGGTTGTGGTGCTGGGGTTCTTGGACTTGATGGGACTGGTACGGCTGGTAGAACTCATAAACCTGGTGTGGTGTGGTACGAAGATCACCCTTGAGCTTGTAGATTTCCTCTGGATAGCTGTGGTCAGATACCTCATGACGTCGTCATAAACTTGATCATCCATAATTCAAAGTGGATGAAATCTGAGAGAGAGAGAGATTTGAGAGATTTTACGACCGCTTCAGCCGTCGGCTATTTCGCAGTCGGGGCCAGACGGGTTTTAAGATAAATAATACAATACTGGGGAATAATAATATAATCGTCTGGCCCAAAAAAATGTAAATTAAAGGTGAAAAGAAGAAAGGAAAACAGTAAAGGTGGTGAAGAGGGATAAGAAAGTTTAGTGGCTACGTATGAAACTGTGAGAAACTTAATCTACCATAAGTACCTAGTGGGAGGGACAAGAAATGGAACTGATCAGTTAAGCTGATGTGCTAGTGTGTTAATATAACTGTTCAGCAATAATAAAAATAAAGGTAAAGGTATGGGAGGTAACCTAATTTAATAAAAATTGGACTCTTGGCTATGGGGGGGGGTCAGGCGGGAGTAGAGGGGGTGAGAGTCGTGGACGAGTTGGCTTGGCTTGGGTAGGTGGCTGGCTAAATGAACATGTTTCTGCGTGGCTGGTTATGGGAGAAATTGGTGCGCGGACGTCGGAGGGGACAATCCGCGCTGGGATAGGTGGCTGGATAAGTGAACATGGTTCTGTGTGACTGGATATGGGAGAATTTTGTCGCGCGGACGTCGGAGAAGGCAATCCGCGCTAGGAATTTGGATCCCGATCCTAAATTGCAAGAATGGTAATTTTGTAGATGAAGGTTTCTAGCTGAGATTTGTTTGGGATATATCTAAAGTCTATTTATAAGATTTGTTGATTTTAGGAATTTAGCTATATGGGTATATTTAGAGGGATTTATGGTCGGGTTGAGAAGTAGACCAATATTGTTTCTGTACTGTGGGGGGAGGGAGTTAAATAGCTGAGCTTGTTGATGTTTGTGTTGTTTGCAGTGGTTAAATATATGGTCAAGGTTTTCAGGTGTATTGCAGTGAGTGCAGTTTGGGTGTGGGTGTCTGTTCTGTTTGTGAAGTATTTCATTTAGATTGATTTGGCCGCTGAGCATTCTGTTAATGATTTTGTCCGTGATTATTGACTTAGTAAAGTTGCGGCATTTAGTGACCGGTTTAATGAAGAGAGATTTTATCCATGTGGACTTAGAATTTTGAATATTGGTTTGAAAATTTTGACGCTTAATGTTTTTCCTGATTATTGATTTGACTTCGGCCTTACATGTGTTGAAGTTAATGCAGGGTGATGGGTGTGTGGTAGCTAATTTCGCTGCTGTGTCTGCTAAGTTATTGCTGTGTATTCCTATGTGTGCAGGTGCCCAAAGTAGTGATATTGTTTTGTTTGTTGCTGTGATGTTGTTATGTTTATCTATAATATTGCTTATGATGTCTTGACGTGATTTAGATGTTTTGTTTTGGATTCGGGTTAATGAGCCTAATGAGTCAGAGATAATTAGAAAGTTAGTGTACTTGGATTGTTTGATATAGTGATATGCACATTGTATGGCGAGTAGTTCTGCAGTAGTAGTGTGTGTATAGTTTGTATAGTGGAAGTTTGTGGTGATTGAGACTGGTTGGGTGACTTGGATTCCTAGGCCTGTGATATTGTAGTTGTTTTATAAGGCGTGAGTGTAGATATGTGTATGGTGAGGCCAGTTTTGATGTATATATTGGTTTGTTTTTTGCAGTTTTTCTGGTTTGGTTAAGTCGGGTTGGGAGGTGAAGAGTTTGTGTAGTGAGCAGTCAGTGTTGGGGGCTGGTTTTTCGTTAATGTAGGTGTGGCAGGGGGGTGAATGTTTGATATTTTCAAGTTTGTGTGTTTTAATGAGTTTGTAGAGGTGAGTTAGAAATGGAGCTAGGTTATGGTTGTTTTTAAACTTTTTGAGTGTAGCAGGTCTGAGATTTGTGTATTTGTCTGTGATTTGTTTGTATATGGGGTTGTGTTGGGCCCCAGCCCAGTAATTTAGAGTGGTTTGGTCGCGTCTAAGCTTAATTGATGTATTTCCAGAAATTAATAGTAGTGAGTTGAGGGAGGTACCGGTTCTGGTCCCCAGGGCTATTTTTAAAGCCTTGTACTGGATAGATATACGTTTTTGGTTTAGCTTATCTGTAATGGAGTGGAGAACCGGGGCGGCGTAGTCAATTTTGGAAAGTATAAGTGATTTGTATATGTTGAGTAGAGTTTGTTTGTCAGCACCGCAATCAGAGCCGCTTATGGCTCTCATTAGATTTAAATCTTTTTGACATGATGAGACCAAGTTATGAATATGGGGGGCCCATGTTAATTGTTGGTCGAAAGTGACTCCTAGAAATTTTGCTTGGTTTTTGAATATGATGGGTTCTTTATTAAGAGTGAGTTCGGGTGTATAATTTTGCATGCGTTTCTTTTTGAAAAGTAAGCCTATGGTTTTCTGTGTATTGATTTTGAATCCCCACTGGGAAGCCCATTTTTGAATATGATCTAGGAGGGGTTGGATTCTTTTTTTAATTTGTTTTATTGATGTAGACGACGTCCAAAAGGAGATGTCATCAGCAAATTTGGCAGTGGTGACATTATTAAGGTTAGGCGGGAATATGTCGTCTATCATGAAGTTAAATAGAGTTGGGGAGATGATGCTTCCCTGTGGGGTGCCATTTTCTAAAGGATGTAGATCAGATGATGAGTTGTTAGTTTTTATTGTGATATTTCTGTCAGTTAAGAAAGAGTGGATGAAATTTAGAATCCTACCATCTAGGGCTTTTTCTTTAAGTTTTTGGATCAGGCCGTTATGCCAAACCATATCGAAAGCTTTACTAAAA